GCCTATGGACCAGCAGAAATGGTATCACCTGCAAACTTGTTAGAAAATATACATTCTCAGGTCCCACTCCACACCCACAGTGGGAACCCTGTAGGCGTGGACTGGCAGTCAGTTTCAACAAGCCCTCTGCTATATTTTGATGTCTCCCAAAGGTCTCTACTAGAGGTTTGGTCCCAGGGTGGTGCCATTGGGAATTGTTGTGGACCTTTAGGAAATGGAGCTGGTGGGAGTGGAAGACCCTGAAGTCACTAGGGGTGTGCCCTTGAGGGGTCTGTGGGATTCCAGCTTCTCCTCCCTACCCCAGCCCTGGCCATGAAGTGAGCAGTTTGCTAACACTCTCCCCAAGGGATTTTGACCCGTACTCAATTTTGAGAACCACTATATCAGGAAACTATGAGTCCATATTAGTATTAAAAGATAAACAACTTCAAAATTTGATGAATATAATATTTACGTAGTCTCAAATACACCACTTCATAAAATACTACAAAAAATACTTTACAGTGAAATCTGGACTACATCACCCTAATCAAATGATCAAAGTGAACTTGCGTAGTAAGTTATGGGACAATTTGAAATTGAGCACCACCTGAATGTGATGAAAATACATCATAACTTCAGTGATATTCCTGCTATGCAGGTAATCTGAATTTAATGAGAAAACAGGCAATCAATAATCATTCTACAATATCACTGGTACATTGTCTTTTAAAATATCAGTCTTGAAAATAATGAGTTGCTGTTCCAACTCATTCTTTCTACTGTGTGTTTGTTTTTTGGTGCTTAGTATTGACTCAAGGGCTCATATATGCTAGGCAGGTGTTCTACCACTAGCTATCTCCCAGTCTTCAACTCAATTCTCTCTTAACCATAAGCGATGCATTAGGGTTTTCAATAAACACTGAGTGAAAATATTTTCTGAAGCAGCTCTGGAATTTCCTTCAAGTCATTAGAATATTCCTATACGAAAGCATGATCTATTTCAAAATTCTAAACTTAAGACTTTACCTGAATACTTTTGTAATGGTTTAAGTCAAAATAATTTATCTTGAGCTATTGTTTGAAATGTTTTAAAGGCAAATTATATCTTTATTATTTACTGCACATCTTAAAATATATATCAATTACAGAATAATTAAATTGCATTAATGTATTGTCTTAGTCACTTCCTCATTGCTAGGACAAAATACCCAAAACCCACAAGTTAAAGGAGGAAATGTTTAGCTCACAGTTTGTAGAGGTTTCAATCCACAGTCACCTGGCTCCAAGGCAAGGTGCCATGGCAGAGAAATAGTTCACAACAGGGCAGGCAGGAAGCGGCAAAGCAGCAGCAGCAGTGAGCCTTACTTTCCCTTTTAGCCCTTTTATTCCATCCAGGCTACAAGCCTATTGGTTGGTGCCACCCACACCCACAGTGGACCTTGCATTATCCACACCCAGAACAATGCTAAACCAATCAGTGGGCTAATTTAGTTATTCACACACCCTAGATCCAGCCACCTCCAAAAAGCCCCACCTATGAGTGCATGAGGCTTTGGGGGGACATCTAGATACAAGCCATAGCATGTCTTCTCTCTCATTCTTAAGTTTTTGCTGAGAATACAAAATCTACTAAGCATGTTGTATAACAGATTTTGGGAACTTATTCTGCCTATCTAAAACTTTATGGCAGGTCCCTAATCCCATCCACCTGTTCCCCCTTGACCCCTGACAACCACTATTCTACTCTCTGCCTCTGGTGAACTCAATTTAAGATGCTACATGTAAGGTCATAAAGTATTGGTTTATTTCACTTATCATCCTTCTGGGACATCCCTGTTGTTACAAATAACAATATTTCATTCTTTTTAAAGACTGAGAATAATATATATATTTTTATCCATTCATTTGTTGAACACTTAGGTTGATCCAGTTTCTTGGCAGTTGTGAATAATACTTCACCGAACATGAGTGCAGATACTTCTTTAACATACTAATTTCAAATCCCTTGGAAACATAGTAGTGGAATTGCTGGTTCATACGACAATTCTAGTTTTTGGTTGTTTTCAGCACTAGAGATTGAACCCAAGGCCTTGCACATGCTAGCCCAGTGCTCAGCCACTGACCCAAATCCCCAAATCTTTTTAAAATTTTGAGACAGGGTCTTGCTAAAATTGTACCGGTGAACTTGAACTTGCGGTCCGTCTGCCTCAGCCTCCCAAAGCAACGGGGATCATGGGAATGTGCCACCACCCCTGACTTTTCATTTCTTGCAGAACCTCCATAGTGCTTTCCCTAAGGGCTGTACTAATCTACATTGCCTCTAAGTATGCCAGAGGTGCCTTTTTCTCCACATCCTCTCCAACATTTATCTTTCATCCTTTTGTAACAGCCCTCTAAGAGGTGTGAGGTGGCATCTCATTGTGGTTTTAATTGTCTGCTCCTGATTAGTGATGTTGAGCATGTTTTCATACACCTACTGTGACCACACGTCTTTTTGTTTTTTCCAACAGTGGAGATAGAGCCCTGGAGTACTCTATCACTTAGCTACATCCCCAACCCCTCTTTTTGAGACAAGATCTCACTAAATTACCCAGGCTGGCTTCACTCCTCTTCCCTCAGCCTCCCAAAGAGTTGGGATTATAGACATTCACTGCCATGGCTTGTTTGTATATCTTTTGAGAAATGTCTATGCAAGTTGGGGCATTCTTTCCAGCAGTAACTGGCCAGAAAAGTCAAATTGCATTAGCTCCCAATAATAAGCTATGCCTTCAGCATACAGAATGTTTTCTGAGCCTACTTCCTGTACATCCAAAAGTATAACTTCACCTACTGAATTGAAGGAAAAGGTTGATACAATCACAGCAATTTTTACCTGTTAGGAAATTCACTAATGAATTCTAATGAATTACCTATTTTGGAAATAGTTTTGAACTCTAATTCTGGAGGTAATATCAAAGACAAATTCTGTGCATCAATAACCAAGAATCCTCATCAGATTCAGAGCAAGAAGAAAATACAGGAGTAAATCTTTGTTATCTCGGATTAGGCAAAGGTTTTTGAGACATGATACCAAAAGCATAAGCAACAAAAGAATCTGAATTTTATCAAAATTAAACTTTTAATTATGTACTTCAAGCAATTCCATCAAAAAAGTGAAAAGACAACCTATTGTGGAGTAAATCATCCAGTCCCATAAGAGGGAAAACTCCTGAAAATGATATTAATCTATTTATGAAGGCTCCACTCCAACCTAAACATCTCCCCTTAAGCCCCACCTAACACTGCCACAATGGGGACACAACATAAGTTTTGGTAGGGACAAACCACAGCAAACACTATAAAGCTTGGCATAACTGATGCTTTGTAGTAAAATAATTTAGCCTTAGACTTTTTAAAAACTATCAATAAATGACACAATTTGACATACAGTAAAACCTTGGTTTGCAGGCATAATTCATTCCAGAAATGTGCTTGTACTCCAAAGCACTTTAAAGGCGAGAGATAATGGAAACTCAGATGATTCATTCCATAACCCAGAAATATTCATATAAAATTGTAACTGACATAATAGAGAAAAATAAATTAATCTGCACCTACCCTGAAAACTTTGGTGGCTGGTGTGAGATGAGAGGATGACTTTCACTATCACTAAGAGAATCACTACCTATTGGCTCAATTGATGCTTTCTTTCCCTCCAACTTTAACAAGGAACCTATCCAATGACTCTTGCTTTTGCCTCCTTCTGAAAATTTCACAGAAATGTGACACCGCATTGTTGTTAAACAGATTCACTGCCAAGCATGGTGGCACATTCCTGTAATCCCAGCACTTAGGGAGGCTGAGGCAGGAGGATCTCTGGCGAGTTCAAGGACAGCCTGAACTGCCTAGTGAGACCTGGCTCACCACCACCACCACCACCACCACCACCTCCAAAAAGATTCATTGCTCACACTGCTACAACCTTATTCAGATGGTGATTTTATTTTTTGGTGCAAAATTTTGCACTGTTTCCTACATTTTACACATTTCCCTAATCTCTTTTGAAGTGAGGGGTATCTCCTTTTACTCCTCTTCCTTTGCAGATGAGATCACCTCTATAACTTCTTGCTGCTGGGAGATGATCACCCACAATTCCACAGTGTGGAGAGGGAGAGAGAGAGAGAGAGAGAGGGAGAGAGTCTGATGGGGGGGGAACACAGAGAGAACCACCATTGGCTCAGTTGTGACCACGGGACATTCATGTCATGTACTATTCGTATTGTAAGACATTACTCATTTATCAAGTTAAAATTTATTAGAAATGTTTGCTTGTCTCGCAGAATACTCACAGAACAAGTTACAATCCAAGGTTTTACTGTATTTTCATCCTAAATATGACTATTAAATCTTATTGATAAAATGTACAGCAGTGTAATACATGTGGGTATGCAGATAACCATTACTACATTGATTAAAGTCACATTTGAGAATGAAGTTAATACACTTAAGAGAAAGGAGACTATAGGTCAAATACTGGGGGATCCCCCAAGAATCATAAGGTATAATTTAGTACTATTTATGAGAATTTTGACATAAAGTTGATAAACATATAATTTTATATTAACCATGGCCATGTTATGCACCTGACCTGAAAGTATGAATTTCTGTATTGGGGTATGTTCAACTTAGTATTTTTCCTTTATATCTATGGAATCTTATTTCCCATACACTAATAGATATCAATTCAGTTAAGGCATTGGGTAGTTCAAATAAATTTCAAGAACAGAATGAAAAATCACCAAACTTATTTCACATTTTATATATAACCAAGATTTATAATTCTTGAAGATAACACATCCTGGATTCTATTTGCATGTAAATTCCATAAAAAGGAAGGAATATCTGTTCACTACTCACTCTGGGTAGAACAATGCCTGGCATGTAGTAGGCACTCATTAATTATTTGAATAATGAAGAAAATATGCATACTATCTTTATTATCTTAGCAAAGGGGAAAAGTCACAATATGCATAAAACAGGAAGTTGCAAAATATTTTTTATTATAAAGAGTCAAGAGAGATTGACAATCCACATGTTATCTCAGAACATTTCCCTTGATTCTGAATTTACTAGGTTACTCTGTACCAGCGTCTCCATTCGCATTCTCAGGTTTTAATGGTCCTTTTCAGATATACTGACTGATTATATGTACATATTGCTTAGAAACAAAAATCCATCTGCTATTAAGACCAACCAAAAACAAACAGCAACAACCACAAAAAAAAAAAAAAAATAACCCTTAATTCCTGTTGTGCTTTTCTTTCACATTTCTCACAGGGAGATCTGAATACTTCAGGTGCTTTCAAAATTTAACAATCAAGTAAAATTAGTGCCTTAGCCAAACAGTTAGATACCAAAGAATTTCCACCATGTTACTGGATCAAACCTCATGACATCTGCAGAATAATCAGATTTTTAATTTAGAAGTTAAAAAAATGTAGAACTTTAAATTTTAAACCGATTTCCCATATTTGAAAGACTGTAGTTATTTGCAGCATACAAATGAAATGAGTAGTGCAAAATGCATCAAGTTTTATATGATAAACACTTGCAACCTAATGGCTGCCTCAGAAGCAAAAAGTGAAAATTACTTCTCAAAAGCAATCTAGACTGATTTAAAAGTATCAAATGCTAGTCTATTTCCACAGATTGCAAAATGATTTCAGAAACACATAAAACATACAATTGTTTTACAAAAATAGAAATTGGGTCTTTACAAAACTTTTATAAAATATAACACTTTGTAAATTCAAGATAGTTTCATACTGAAATAGACAACATTTCCACAGATATGAAGTCTAGCCAAATTTAAAGTGGTCTGCTTTGATCATTCTTATATATTATTTCTTCCAAATCCTCAAGACTAAGTAGAGCAGTACTCTTATCATGGAATTTTTAAGAGATTGTTTATTTTCAAGGGTCTTACAAGATTTTTCATTCTAGAAATAAAGCAGAAGAATTCGTATCTAAAAAACCTTGTTGAAAGCAGAAGCTAATGCAATATGGCAATTCTGTATAATTGATAATCTTCAAATTCTGAAGAATGGTAACCTCTTATAATTTAAAATATACATTTGACAATTATAATTTGGTACCTATAAAACATAAAAATATAATCACAACTATTTTATGGAAAAATACTTATTCATATAGAATGAAGATACCTTCTAAATTTAGTGATTTATAGCTGTCAGATGAGAAGTGTTCCTAATTATACTCATTCATAAACACTCATTTTATTACTTCAAAGAGCACCAATGTGTTTTTTTAAACCAAAAAGTGAGACAGTAAGGGCTTATATTTCATGTAACAGTGCTATTACAGTAAGGCACCACTTGGTTGGTATAAAGTAAAAAAAGTATTTCCAAGTCATGTACAGTATTTTTGTCACTGGCACTGTAATCATTAGGATGATTAGAAAAAAGTTAATATTATTATTTTAATCATATTATACTCCTGTTCCCATCATTCTGGGCTTTTAGTTTTTCCATATAACTAAAACAAAAATAACAATGTGGTACGGAATCTATTAAATACATTTTCCCCAACCCTCCAAGAAAATAATCTGGAAATAAACAAGAATAAGAAACCAAAACTTCATCTGATACATTTGCAACAGTCTATCCCTGCAGGAGAATGTGGGGAGGGGGAGAAGGAAGGCAGACCTACTTCCTACAGACTATATTGAGGCACATAGGCACAAACTTTCTCAGGCAAAGTCATGGCTAGAGAGAAAGTGAGAGAGCACTAAGAATTTCCATTTCCCCCAGAGCTGATTTCTCAGTCACACCTGATTAAATATTTCAAAATGTGTCCTTAGTCACTGCTATCATCATCCTCATCATCAGATACATTGTTTAAAGAAGACTTCAACGACTGACTATAAGAGTCTGATCTGCCAGGCTGGCACGTGGCCATGTCCCCAGTGGAAAGCAGGTCATAGCAGAAGTCACAAATCCGTACAGGCTTAGAGGACTGGCTAGGAAGAAGAAATCTCTTTTCAGAACAGGGCCCACAAACAACATAACCACATTTTCGGCAATGGTGACGACGATTAACAGGTGTGAATTTTGCTTTCTGACAACGCATACAAACAGTTGCCTCAGAATCAGGAACCCAGACAGCAGCATGTTCATTAACGGGTGTCTTCCCACTTTTGGAGAGTAAATCAGTAACACATTTATTTATATGATTCATCCATTCTGATTTTTCAGTGGCAGTGGCAGCATAAACTGCAAATGATTTAGTTGGTGTCTTAATAAGCCATCCATTCCTTAGATCTCCCTCATCTTTGATGGAATCGATAGTAACATTTTCCAGGGGAATAATATGTTGTTTGTTGTATTTTTTCTTCTGGATGACAATATTGCCATATACAAGAATATCATTAAATAAGAAAAACTGCCTTGCTTTGGGCTTCTTTCTGCACAACTTAGTCAAGACTCCTTCTCCAATAAGAACTCGTCCAGGTATAGTTAAGGGTTGACCAGCTGCTCCAAAACAATTTTCCACTATACCTATACGTCTAGTATTTGCTTCACTGTTGGCCAAGCGATCCACCATCTTTTGCTAATAGCCCAGCCGGGTGCGGGCAGTGGCGGTGGTGCCGAAGGTCCTACTCCTCCTTGCTGCGGACGCCGGGCGCGGGCTTTGCCCATCCGCAGCCCCGGCCTCGAACCTACAGCTGTGTAATTGAAGTACATCACTCACTTGCCACTGTAAAGTTTGCACCGGGTGCAGCTTAATTGTTATTTGCAGCCACTCCCTGGTGGCTGCCTCAGCTTCCCCTCAGGCTAACTGGGATTAGAGTCTCATAAGGAGTGTACAGCCTAGATCCCTTGCACGTGCAGTTCACAGTAGGGTCTGAGCTCCTATGAGAATTTAATGTCCTTGCCGATCTAACAGGAAGCATTTTGGGTGTCGATGCGAGTAATAGGGAGTGGCTGTAAACACAGATGAGACCCCGCCTTCTTACCCCCAGAACCTCATCTGACAGAGCAGCCCCTGTGTGGAGCATCCTGGTCATCACAGCACAGGGGACAGGGACAGGGTGAACCTGACAGTAGTAAATGGAGTGATTTCCATATGAGCTGGACCTCGACTCAAATCCTGCCTCTGTCTTCAATAACTCTGGGACCTAGGACAGATTTCATGAATCCTCTGCCTCGGTGTCCTCGTGTGTAAAACGGAGAGAGCAATGGTTGCTCCATAGGGTGTCTGTGCCAGGTACATAAGCTAATAAAGCCTTTAGAGTCATCAGTAAGTGGTAGCTGTCGTTTTCTCCTTTTGGCAGTGGTCCGACTAGCTTTTGCTTCTACGCACACATATGGCTTACATCTTTATAAACATGAAAGATACGTAACTGGCATTTTTGTTTTTTAATATTCTTTTGTAAGCATTTCCACATATTATCATGTCATATTTATATCACTACTCAACTACATTTCATGAGTAAGATGTATTGCTGTTTATTCAGTAGATCCCCTGATGTTCAAGTCAAAAGGTATTTTCAGCCTGGAGTGGCAATGTACACCTGTATCCCAGGACTGAGCGAGACAGAGGAAGGAGGATGGCAGGTTTGAGTCCTGCCAAGGCAACTTAGCAAGACCCTATCTCAGAATTTTAAAAAGGGCTAGGGGGCTGGGGATTTAGCTCAGTGGTTTTGCTGCCTGCTGCACAAGCACAAGGACCCGAGTTCAATCCCCGGTACCAAAAAAACAAAAAAAATAAAAATAGAAAAGGGCTAGGGATGTAGCTCAGTGATAGATTGCTCCTGGGTTTGATCTCCAATACTACAAAAAATGTTATTTTCAATTGTGTGTCTTATTTAGCTTTTGCTGTGTTGCCATTTTGATGTAATTTTAAGCTTACATTAATATTGGCTAATGCTATCATGAATGTTTGTGGACATAAAACTTTTTTATTTCTTTGGGTTGATTTTGTAAGTTAGGTTTCCAGGATGTTCCAGCCAGGACTTTAGAACTTCCAAATTCAGCCCTGTCAGTCACATTGGGAAACATAAAATATGGTTTCATTACTAACTAACCAGCCCCCAGGGATGCAGTGTAGTTCTTTCTGGTTAAGCCTTCTTGGCTTGCATTAGTCCTATAGCTGGGACCAGGGATGAATCCCCCCCTTAATTCCTGTAACCTAGCTGGGGCCATGGGCTCTGACTAGAGTAATATTCTTAATATTCCTCCTTCTCAAGGGAAGCAAGGAAAAGGCCATCAAGAGGCAGACACATACCTTTGCTACTGCCCTTCCCCCTTTTTTAAAAGACAGGGTCTCCACTGGGCATTATAGTACATGCCTGTAATTCCAGTACTCTGGGAGGCTGAGGGAGGAGGCTCACAAGTTCAAGCCTAGCCTGGGGAACTTAGGGATTTAGTGAGACCCAATATGAAAAAATTTTTAAAAAGAGCTGGGGATGTAGCTCAGTGTGAAGGCTCTGGGTTCAATTCCCAGTGTCCCCCCAAATCCAAGTGACCTCTATTTTAATTAGATTTCTCATGGTTCTTCTTTGAAGGAAATAATCTTACTGGATTTGATTAATTACTTTTACCCCAATCATTTTAGGATTCCTTTTTTTTTTTTTTTGGTACCGGGGATCAAACTCGGGACCTTGCACTTTTGAGGCAGGAGCTGGAACCACTGAGCTAAATCCCTGCACCCCCCCCATCATTTTAAAGAATTATCTTGTTACTTATGTTGGTGTTTCAGTTGATTCTCTGGTTTTCAAGGTCTCAGTCATATCACATGCAAAGGAGGAGGAGAACCTGTACTTCTCTAATTCGGCATCTTTGTGTCTTTCTCTTATTTAATTTCTTCA